ATGCCTCTCTGGTTAATCCCTCGTTAAAAACAGAGGAAAGGGGAAATTTACAGGTGCTTGTTACCCAGGTGTTACTAACTGAATGACACCAGAATCTCCTGCTCTGTACAAAGGATTGTTGGGATCACACTGTGCTGTCCTGCTGCTTTAGAGCCAGCTGGGTCTCTGGTGAGATGGTTACAGTTCTGTGGCATTGCTGTGGCACTGCTAATTGACCATACAAATGTATGGTATTGAGAGAAGTGGAACAGAGGAACCAATTCCTTAATTTTTGTGTAGCTTTTTCATAAAATCAGGCACGTTTGCAATTCGTGTTCTTCATTTCTAGCAGGATTTTAAAAATAAGTTACACAAATAAAAAAACTTCTTTTTATATTTTCCAGTATTACTGAAACCACCTGAAAATGAAAAGCCTTGTGCCATACTGAGAGCTGATGCTGCAGCAGCTGCTCAGGAGAAAATTCCTTGGGATAGGCTCACTGACATCAACCAGACCTTGGAGCACCTCCTCCAAATCGGGTTTTCTAGACCAGCATGTATTTTCTAGTCTAATGTGACAGTGATTCTGTTCCAGGAAAATACAGTTGAGAAAACAGATGCTTGCCCAGAAATTCAAGCGAATTAAATAGCAAGTTGTCCAATAAGCACAAAAATGCGAGGGCTTTAGAATAAAACTTGTTTTCAGGTTTATGGTTAAGGAATGAGCAGAAATGATGGGGACAATGAGAGCTTTTAAACTGGCAGTCTCTGTTGAGATGGAGTGCAGGAAAGCAGCCTGGATGTGGAGCTCCTCAATTGAAGCATTCAGGTAAGTGCTGAGCAGTTCCTCTCCCAGGTGCCTCATTAGGAACTCTTGGCTTAAAGGCAAGGTTAATCACTGAAGGGGTTACTTCTTGTATAGCCAGACAGACTTCTTGTTTACAGAAGCCTTGGCTTCATACTTTTACTTTCAGCGGCCTAATCTTCAGCAGTATCAGAAAGTAAAAAGAAAAGGCAATAGGGCTCTGCATTATCACTTTAAAGTATTCTGGCGTTTGGTACTGGATCTTTTGGAAAAAGCAGCCTACTGTAAAGCATTGCTTACAAAGATCTGATGGTTCAACACTGTTTTTGGTGACTAATATAAACTAAGGATGGCTTGTTCATAGTTGTGGAAGACTAGCAGCAATTGGAAGTGTTTGGGCAGGATGCTGGTGTGTTTCATGGAAAACCTGCTGCTTTTCATGCTCGTGAAATCCTCCTTCAAAGTAGAGCTGAAATTTAACTAAAGAAAAACAAACCCAACAGTTACAGAACACTTCTGCAACATCTTTCTCTCTCATTTAGAGAGAATTATTCCTATTTAGAGAAGCACAAGGCTTGTGAGCCAATTGAAAACTGAAGAAAGTTTTGCAGTTTTTTGGGATACGTTTTTCTTATTGCTTATTGTTAGAGCACTGGGTTTGCTATGTTAGGATCCATCATGAATTTGCTGTTTTGTTTTATGTAATTAAATTGCTTTTGGTTGGTGCCCTCCTGGTGTGTGCCCTCAGTTGTCTTAATCCAGAATGTGCTGCCTTTGTTTTGTCCACCCCTCAAAATTAATTGTATTGCCTTTATGTGGAATGTCGTATTTCCAGTCTCCCAGGGGAATGCAGTCATAAATATAATAACTGGTGCAATTATCACAGGCTGTCACACAGCCATGAACGTGGGGATGCGCCCTGTCGTCCCAAAGCCAGCTCTTGTAGCCGGGCTGTCGGTAACGTCTGTCAGTATCAACATGTGTTAACATAGAAAACCCTTGTATTTCCAGCATGCTTTCCGTGTCACGAATGTATTATTTTAATATTGAGAATTAGATTTTTAGATTAGATCTTTGTTTGGCAACGAGAAATGTGCTCCTCAGGGCCACATGGAGAGGGGGTGGAATAGCATTTTTGGTCCACAAGTTTGGGTTGGTATTCTTTCCTTGGATTTCCTGTGTGTTGACTGTAAGTTGCTTACAGTCAGATTCAGAATCACGTAAGAGTATGACATTCCTGCATGTGGTGACTCTGGGTCTGTAGTTTAGCATCTTGCGATGTGAGCTCAGTCTGTAAATGGGAATAGCAGTGAAGTCATACCCCAAGGAAATGGCACTGAGGTGTTCGTGACTGAAAGCGACGTGTATCGAGTGCTGCAGCTGTGTGAGCAGGCAGGCTGGGACACAGTTGTGTCTGTGCCCCACGCTCACTTAGGGAAGAGAGAAGTTCCTTACAAACAGAGTGAGAGTGGTGCCTGGTAGTGTTGAGAGCTGAAATGGTGAGGTTGGCAGCAGGGATGTTGCTTTTCAGTTGTGCTCGACCCAACTTTCTTCTTCAGTTATTTTAGTACAGGTGGAGGCAAAACAGCAGAAAGGTTTCCTGGAGTACTTGCTTGCTCTGAAACAACTTTCTGAGCAGCTGCAGAGGCAGCCTGACAGTTCTGCTCTGAGTTGGGTGCTCTGGAGGCCAGCCCTGAGCCAGGCGCTGAGTGGGGGCTCCCAGTGCTCGGAGGCAGAGGGGCTGGGCCCACAGAGCGAGAACAGGAGGCACCGCGCTGCTGCTGCCAGGAGCAAGCTTGCTTTGGTCAGGGAAAAAGATCAGACAACCTGATCAGTCTTTCTTCAAAAAAATTCTATTCTTTGAGTCAAGGTTACAGTACAGGGAATCCTGCTTTTTAAAAAAAATTCCACCACCACTGCTTTTGTTCTTCTTACGCAGTAAAGGTAAAGGTGAGCCCAAAGAAATCTTTTCTCTCGCCCACACAGGGTAAGAAACAAGAAGTTTGTGCAGGTTTATTGTCTTCAGTTCTTTGTCACCTATGGGAGAGCTGTGTTACTCTTTGGGTCACTCAGACTCAAGATGTTTTTGTTGCATTTTTAAAACAGCATTAGATGAGCACTATATACACGTCAGGCTTTGACATTTTCATAAACAACAAAAAGCAGCATGAGAATGGCAGGGGTTGCGTGGGGGTGGTCTGCCCTTCAGAGGCCAGAATGTGCAGCAGAAACTGCAACAGATGGAGTGGGTTTTCAGCTTCACTAAACAGCTGCAACCCTGGGAGCTGGCTGCAGGACACTGGAGCTGGGCTCTACCTGAGCAGCCGGCTGTTGTGCCTGTTGTGTTCAAACGCTGCATTTTCTAGACACCTAAGGTTTGTCTTGTTGCGCAGTAGTCATCTTTGCTGAATAAGATGTTAGCAATTTTCCTCATACTGAACATCTGCTTTCTGGCTGAATCACTGAGCAGGCGGCAGGCTTGTTTGAGCCTGCTGCCCTCCCAGAGCTGCTGGTTGCCTCTGCCTCGCCGAAGGCTGTGTGGGATGGGTTTGTTTCGTGGCTGAGGTGCCAGGCCCTGGTGGCTGCAGGAGGGTCCTCCTCATGGAAAAGATGGTGGGATAAAAGGAAAAGGTTCTTTGGCACTTTGGAATGAAACCTTCACACCTGGCCTTCAAGGATCTGGGCTTGCGAGAGCAAAACAGAGAAGAAAAATGCAGTAAGTTTGTGGTGATGCTTTTATCTTCAACGAGTTTTGAAGTGACTCATAAATGAGATCATCACACATAACTTTAGGCACAGAAAGCAGAGTATGAATTTGGTAAATAATGTGGTGCCCCCTTCCCCCCATTAAGAAGTTGTTTATCAGCAAAATTACCATAGAGTTTGTTTTCACTGAGACAGTAGAGCTGTTTAATCACTTGCCAAAATCTTATGCAAATACTACAACCCGAAGCACAAGTATTTTGTGTTGGTAGGTGTTAGCCTTGGAAGCTTCTTTAACTGCGGATGCTGAACAGATTGATCAGCATTGGTAGGTGATTGATGCTGAAATGTTTTCTTTTCATGTGTGGGAAGGCTTCAGATCAAATGGGAGCTTTCAGTCAGAAAAACAGCGGAGGTGTCTGAGTCTGGTTCAGACAGGTAAGTAGCGAAGAACAGTGGCATTTCTGGAAGGGCAGGGCACATCTGCTCCTGTTTGTGGGTAAGAGCTAAGGAGTGAATGCAGTGAAAAGAGCAGGGGCTGTATGCCCAGTGTAAGCCCCTTCCTGCAGGGGAAGATGTTTTCTGGCACTGCAGCAGCAGCAGGGCAACTTGATGCCTGCTTCCCCCCTACAACTGCCACCACCTCTCTGCAGCTACGTAAAAATTTGCCCGGGAAGTCACTTGATTCTGCTGGTGATAAATTATCCCTTTAATTAAATAGATGACTTACGCTTGACAATTAGTTGAGGTGGAATGATGTATGTTTTTTATTAGAAACCCATGACTAATTTTTTCTGGCTGTTCTTGCTATCATATTGTTCTTGCCTACCCTCCTGCAATGTCGCTGCTGCGTGCCAGCCGTGTCCTCCAGGCACTGGTGCAGACCAGTGTTCGCTCTTGCTCAGGCTATTACCTGTTCCAGACAAAGCAACTATTTTCAAATGTTTTCCATTTCGTCACTGTTGTGCTTTTATATTAAAACTGGGATTTTTTAAATGGTCTTAAAAAAAAACCCAGTCGTATAACTTCATCTAGTACCGCATCCCCAGGTTAAGAGTAATCCTTCCTGCAGCAGTGTCTCTGCATGTGATCTGCAGCAAACTCAGGTGAATTTTATATTTAATTACAATAGGCAAGATTCAAAAGGGGGGTGACTGGAGACATTGTTATTAACATCAGTACAGCAGCAGCTGCAAAGAGCTCAGTTTGTCCCTTACCTCCCAAACTGTAAGAAGCTGAAGCTCAAGCCTTTGTCTTACAGTACAGCCAACTATGACATGTGCTGTACTGATGGCTTTTCCCCCCTTAGAAAACTCGAGTCTTTTCATAGAAAATATGTTTCTGTGGATAAATTTAGGCATGGATGAGAAGGGAACAATGCATTCTTTGTTAACACTCATGTTTTGTGGAGGGAGTGAGCTTAAGAGGAAGGAAATGTGGCTCAGATTTTTTTGTTTCTTTTGAAATTTCTTCCCCTTCTTTTTCCTCATTCTCAGACCACTCTCCCAAAAAAAGACCAAACCAAAAATCCAGACAAGTAGAGATCCTCAAACTGATCTTTCACCATATGTGTCTTATAAATGGATAATATTCAGCATCCTCTGGAAAGCTTTAGAGAAAAATGGTCCAATTACTCTCTCAAGAACGTGCAGTGTTTGTCTCAGCTTTTCCAATTCATGCACTTAGTGGGGTTTTACACATCGTGTGTCACTGTTGCATGTAAAGTAATTTCAGCTTCAGTTCATCCACTTAAACGTTTTGCTGAATCGTGTCCTTTTGATCTCTCATCCTTGGGTTGATCATTTACAGGATCCCTCTGGAAGGAAGAACTCTTAAGGGGCTGGTGGGGGTGAGAATACCAGGGGAAACTTAAGGTGGGAACATAATTTAATTTTTAATTGGCTACATCGTGAGCTGGCAGTTGGCTGGAAATCACTCTTTCTCTTCTTTTCAGCAGAGGAACTCTGTCAGACAGCTGCTACAGGACACATTTCCTTCCTGCTGCCCTGGGAGTGCACTTCCTGGCCACCATGGCTGATCCTGCAGCAGAAGAGCAGGCACACCACGGTGGTGAGCTGTGCTGTGAATGCGGTCAGTTCCACCTCTTGCCAGACAATCATCTCTACAACTTCCAGAATGAAGTGGATGATGAACTCATTTGCCACATCTGCCTTCAGCCTCTGCTCCAGCCTATGGACACCCCCTGTGGACATACATACTGTTTCAAGTGCCTTGAAAACTTCATGCAGGAGTATAACTTCTGTCCTATGGATCGGAAGAAACTCTCTTTCCAGCAGTGCCACAAGTCCAGCCTTCTAGTCCGAAACCTGTTGGATAAGCTGGTTGTCGTCTGTCCATTCAAGGCAGAGTGTCAGCAGACAATGCAGCGGTGTGAACTAGAAGCTCACCTGCAGAACAGGTGCTTTCCCATTTACCTTGCATTATCACTCTGCATATAATACCATCTGTATCTTGTGCTTCTGAGCAGAAAGTTTTTTAGATGGGGACAAAATGGGACCAGCAGAGGTGAGGTGACAGCAGGTGAGGCAAGAAAGGTGGGTGTGTGAAGACAGCATAATCGTGAGCTAGGGAAGTGAGCTCCCATGTACTACAAGGCAAAGGTTGAGGTCCTTCCTTGCCTTCTTGTAGGCAAGTTGTCTGTGGACACAAAACCACTCAATTGTATATAAATCATGTGTCCTGATCTGGGAGCCTGTCTCTTTGTAAACAGTTACAAAGATGTATATTCCTTCTTTCACTTGTGTGGAAAAGAAAGACAGGCACTAAGTCAATACTCTGGAGGCAAGGGATCGTGCAGTGTTACCAGTTTAATTGGTCCAATTAAGATGTGCAATATATGTCTTTGATCCAAATAGTGTAAGTCCCTCCAAGCTGTGCATTATGCAGTTGCTGAATCACCTACTTAGAATTCCATTATCCTCTCCCATTCTTCTGCTGAGAAAACGAAGCACATGAAATATACGTTTTTCCCTTTGTGTAGAGGAAGAGGTTTTTTTTTCTTGCACTTCAGCAGAGATGTGTTTAGGTACTTCCGTTGTTAGCTAAGCTGGTAGCAGGCAAAGTTCTGAAGTGCCAGTGACAGAGGTCTCAGCATGGTATGGAATGACATCTGTTCCTAGTTAATGATTGCAGGAAAGGGAGCTAAGTGCAAGCTGCTTGCTAACTGCAGGCAGAAGCAGACCTTCATTGGTGAGGTGTACTTTTGTCAGTTGGTATTGAGAAGTGCAGCTTGTTTCCCTTCAGCTGTGTTGTAGCTTTTTGAGTCAGTGCTGTGTGTTATAAATAGGTCACCCAGCACTTGGGATACACTCACAGTTCCAGCCAAGCTCATACCCTTGCTATTTTGCCTGTCTTTGTTACCACAAGCTGAGGGCTCCTGTTAGAGCCAGAGCAGTGATGGAAGATGCCGTGGGAAAGCTTACAGTGTCCTTGAACTGATTCTGTACTGTTTTCTCATTACCATCAGGGCTGAATGCTGGTGCTTGCAGACAGGACTGCCTACATAGCTGGTGCTGCATGGGCATGGCCAGAGTGGGGTTGGGTACAGAGCTGAGGGGTCAGAACCTTCCTCTGAGCTTCATAAGTCTGCCTTGGTACCAGTATACTTCTGTCACTTGCTAATCCCTCTGATGCATGAGTTACACTTTGGAGAGGGAGGCATCCTTCAGTGTTTATGTTGAAGACCTGACTGGAAACTATATCCTTCCCATATACAGTTCTTAGCATCTCCAGTGGGAGTGGAGTATTCTAAAAATCATGACTTTGGGTTGTGAGTGTTTTTAAATTGAAAAGTAGAAAAAAGGAGAAAAAAAATTACACTGGGGTTTGGGTGTTTGTGTTTTTTTTAACTGTGAGATTAAATTATAGTAGGATACCTAAAGGAATAAGTAATAACTAGCAGCTTGTTTCTTGAGGGATTCCGTTGCCCTTAGCAAAATTCATTTATTTCTCCACATCTTAAGAGGGTTGTGCCCAAGTGGGTCAGCTAGCTTCTGCCTGTAACTTTTAGGGTCATCTTGTTGGCCCCAAGCAAAAGATGACCAGGGGTACACCGGATAATACCTGGGTAAGGCTTGTTTATCCAGAATGTAAATAGAGTTTAATTTGAAAAGTGACTCTGGTAAACACCCAGTACTACTCATGTCTCTGAAAGTGACGCTTTTGCATTCATCACTCTCCTTACCTGCTACTTTTCTGTAAGTGCTTTTGATAAAAGAGCTTGTTTTTCCTCGCTTGTTTTTGCTGAGATAGCTACGGTGTAACTGCACACAGAGCACATTTTTTGAATGCAGAATTACTCCTTGAACCTCCAGGTGGGGAGTGGTCAGTGGGAGTAAAGCTTCTGTGAATTGCTCCCATTCATCTTCAGCATGGATTGGAGGCCAGAGCTGCCCGAGGGTCAGGCCTCGTTCAGGGGAAAAAGAATGAAGCTCTGCTCACTGCTCTCCCATGTTACCAGCTCGTTAAAAACAAAGCTTGATTCAGAGCTGAGCTTGAAATTCGAGTCACTTCCTTTGCATAAAGTTACAGTTCATCATCAGCTCTAAAAGCACACAGCTAAGTGTTTGCTTATGTTTTAAAAGAGGTATTGTCTTCACTGAGAGTTTACCATGTAAATATTTAGCAAGAGTAAGTCCTCTTCCTATTCCATTTTCCTTTTAAAAATATTGAGCTTAATAATTTTGAAAGTAAGAGAGTAAGTAGTCTGCTCTTCTACTTATGCAAGTAGAAGCTGAAAGTAGAATGAGAACAATTTCAAGCATCTGTGATACAAGCTCAGCAGCTGCTGAGATCCTGAACGTACTTCTTTGCCTGCTTTTGTCACTCAGAGCCTACATGCGCTGGGTCAGCCACTTATGGTCACTGACAATCTCTCTCCAGGTGTCCTGGTTTCAAGAAATACAAATGTGAACTACAACGGAAAAGGAACCATGTTTCCAAAGGGAAGGAAGAGCCCCTCACCAAGGTGGAGACAAGCACACCCAGGGATCCAGAGGTGCCCAGGGATGCAGAGGTACCCAGCGGAGGATCCACGCTTGTAGCAGAAAGCTCCGCAGCTGCTGTGGTATCACTAGGGACTGCAGAGCCTGGACTGGTTAACCCAGCTTTTGAGGAGACTGAAGAAGGTGAGAGTTTGATAAACAGATGTAATTATGTAATTACCTTTTATAATATAAAAATGAGGTAATTATTTCAGACATTTCCCCAGTGTTGTTAGATATCCTCCCTTTCCTCAGCTTGTTCTTGAGGAGAGGGAAGATATATTCATCCGATGTGCATTGCATGTGGAAAGATCTGCTCAGAAGCACAGAACTGCTGGCACAAAACAACTCAGATCTCAGGCTGCAGTGAATGTTGTATTTACAGTTTTCTTTGCAGAAATAAATGCAGTTTCTCTCAATGGGAATGTGCAGCACTAAAAGCACTTATAGAAGCCAAATAATTAGTAATTAGGAAATGCTCCAACTTCTTAATCTTGTTCAGAAAGTTAAATATACAGTTGATTTCCTGGAGTGGTCAGCACCTCCCTAACAGTACAAAGCAAGCGTGTTTTTATAGCCTAGCCTGGCTTTGGATTAGTAGTTAAGAAATCCTTGCAGATAAAAGTAACCATCTGCACTGCAGCCTAGAACCTCTCGTGTCAGTCCCTGCCAGAAGGAAGGAGTGTGGAAATCTCACTGCCTTGTTTGAGAGTGTGTCTCAGTTTCCAGATGTGCAGAGACTGGAGCTGGGTACTTGTCTGCTGATGTGTCATTGCACAGGTCAGCTTAGTTCTTGGCTTTTACTCTGAGTACACTTGGAGCAGATTTTGCATCTCTTGTATGAGACCTGCAGTTCACCTTTGCAGTCAGTCTGCTTGGCTTCATTAGAGTGCTGGGCTTGCCTAAATGCTGCAGTGCTGGTAGCTTTAAAATGACTTGCTAACAACTACTTTCATCTTCAAAGTGTCTGAGAAGCATTGCTTAGGCTTCAGGAGGCTGTGAAATAAGTAAACATTACTTCTGTGTTATAGGAAAGATGGAAGAAAAGGAGGAAAGGAAATTAGAGGAGGGAGGTTGTAGTGAACTGCCTGTGGTAGAATCACCTCATGACAGACCAGTAATTACAGTGCAGCAGTTCCCTTCTCTAATGGATGCTGTGGAATTTGGGATTAGTGCATGTGTGCTTCTAGGAGTCCAGCTGTCACATCAGAAAAAATAAATGTCTAAGTGAAATATACTGAATACCCTGTAGTAAAACACAAGAAATAGCAGTGACAGAGTTAAAATTTGCCACAAGTTAGGGCAAGATGTTCTGGAGAAACTACAGAAATAAGGCCTTTTCAGCTTTCAGTTTGACCTAGCTTTTCCTCTCCTGATAGCTGTTTTCTCTTCCTTTCCCTCTAGATGCTACTTTAACAATGTTAAAAATCTTGTGGGGCTACATGGGGGAAGGTTCCATTCATGTGTTGTTTTTTTTTTTCCTCTTTGATGTCCACCATCAGATGTTCCTCAGAGAGCTAGCCCTGTGGCTGAAACAAGCACAATTGAAATTCACAGAGAAGATCCAGAGGAAGAGCTTGGGATGAGAATAGTTGGGGGTAAGGACACCCCACTAGGAAACATTGTTGTTCAGGAAGTCTTGCGGGATTCTGTCATTGCTGCAGATGGAAGAATAGCACCTGGGGACCATATTCTTGAGGTATGCAACCCTCCTGTCTCATTGCTTGTCTTACCTGAAGGGATAAACAGGCAAAGTTGCCTAGAAAAACTGGGAAATCTCTACAGAGAAGGCTTTCTTTTTTTTTTTTTTTAAAAAAAAAAAAGCACTGATCAGACATGTCTGTCAATAGCATCATCTGTCTCCTGGAATTGAGAAGCAGATTTGAGGACCATTCTGATCCCTCCAGATTTTTGAATTCTTACCATTTTGTATGAAGTGAAAAGATCTTTGTGATAAATTTCACCCAGTAGCACCATTTCTCTCCAGTGGATTGTGCTCTAGCTTGGAGGTCATAGTTACTTGCTTTACTATGCTGCTTAAGCTGCATTTCCTTAATGGGCAGGTTGGAAGCTTAAGACCTTACAACTTGAAGTCAACATCACATATATAACGTGAGTAAGAAGGAGCACCAGCCTTGTACCATGCTGACCCACAGCCAGATTTAGTTTCCAGATGAATCTGACATGCCATTATGCTTGTTGCAGCGTGCTAACTGAGGTGACAGAGGCTTGTCCATGGCACTAAAACCTACATGCAGAAAAACTGTTAGCACCTTCCGGCTATGGCTGCCCAATCATCTGACAAGCCATAAAGACCTAATTATCCTGTTGCCCTGTGGACGTCAGTAATGAGTGGCAGCCTTTTGCACAAGTGGCTGATTGAATCTTCAAGTTGGTTTCTCATGCAGACCAACAATACAACTTCTGCTTTATCCAAACTGTACACCTTTCAATCTTGACTGAACTGTAATTAGTTCAGGTTCCCACACCTAGTAGCCCTGCTGCTGTCCTGAAAGAAAGACACTACAAAATCTCATGTGACAACAGACAAAGTGAAAATCAGCTTCTCAGAGTTACTGTGGTGAAAGCACGATTGAGAGCGACAATTCCAGAAGTTTTGTAGGCTGTGGACTGCTCTCCCAAGTGAGGGGTGGGTAGTCTCCAATTTAGCTCTTCTCCTCCAAGAGCATATTGAATGCTGGAAGTCAGTGGAAAGCGGTTCTGCAGTGTCATGACGTACACGTCATGACTTAACATCTTGCAGTTTCAGGTTTGTTAGCTATGTCAGTGGTCCCATCTCATCCATTTACTCAGCTACTCACCATCACTGATGGCCTTAGTTCATCTGCTTTCTTCTGCATTGCTTTTTCTTAGAAAACTCTGCTCTCTAATGTGCATGAGAAACAGCTTCAGTCACGGCATTGAATAGGGATTGTGCATCCTGTCTCCAGCTTTGTGATGTTCTGCATTGTAGACAGTGCCTAAATTACATAGGTTCTGATTAGGGACTCTGGCTTGTTTGTTTTTCTAGGTGAATGGTGTCAACATCAGCAGTGTGACTCACTGCCAAGCTGTGTCCTTCCTGCGCCACCCAGGTCCTGTTCTCCACCTCATGGTCCTGCAAGAGAAAGGCTTTTCCAATAAAACTGCACAGCAGGACTCCACTTCTGCTACAAATCAGGAAGTGATCCATGTCACCTTGATAAAAAGAGACCGATCCGAACCCTTGGGAATCAAACTGATCAGGAAGACGGATGAGGCCGGGATTTTTATTTTAGATCTGCTCGAGGGAGGTTTGGCAGCCAAAAATGGGAAGCTGAGTCGAAATGACAGAGTCCTGTCTATAAATGGCCAGGATTTGAGGCAAGGAACACCTGAGACTGCTGCACAGATCATCCAGGTAATTTATAATGCGGAGAAGCTGTGTGGCTAATGATACTGCAGCTTCCTGCATTGATGGCAAGGCTCCTGCTCTGACCCAGGGGCTAACAGAACATGCTGGAGCAAACTGCCTTGCCTGAAATCTTTTTGGGAAAGTAACTTCTCTGCAGATGTGTGGGAAACGCTGCTTCCAAATGAAGATAAACATGAAGAGTGGGAATACATCATGAGTCATCTGACAAGTCTGAAGTGAGGCAGTTGCTAGTGGCAGCATAGCCAAGGCAATTGGAATTTCTTTGTGGTGTGGCAGTGTGGAGAGTTTCTTGCAGAATAAGTATTTGTATGCACTGGGTAGATGCGTACATCACAGAAACCAGAAGAGATTAGGACAGCTGCTTGTGCTTCGAGCAGTCAAACTGAAGATGTTTTCCAGACTCCCTCCACAGCCTACCACCTCTCCAAGCAAACAACATCTCAGACTAAAAACATTTTTAAATGCTAAAGAGGGTAGGAAAAAGGTGGCTTTTTCATTCATAAGGGATTTGTTCTTATTGCAGTGTGCCAAATGTTTTGGTGAACAGAGCAGGCTAGGAATATTGATTGAGGAACAGGCATTGCTATGTGTGCAGTAGATGTCACATAGATTAGTTTTTAAATTCTTCATCTTCCTAGGCAGTGACCTCCAGTTTCTGTTTTTATCTGAAGATCCTGACACAATGCATCTGATCACATATTGTTTATATCCTGGAAAGGATCTGAGGTCAGCAGAGTGAAGGAGAGCCAGTTCTCTTCCTGCTAATTAGCAAAGGAGAGTACAGTGCAGTGGAAGAATAGAATAATAACAGCAGGATTCCAGCACGGAGATCTTTCCTTGTACTGTGTATGTGATTCCATACTATGACCTATTAGAATTTTTTTTCATTCTTGCTGTTGTATTTCTGTAGTAGTGTGCAAGTGTAACTTCTGTATGAGGAACTTCATCTCACTGAGATCAGTAAGTCTCAGAACTGGCTTCAGTGGCTTTGGGAATTTAATTCCTTTTGAAGTGACATTCTGTAGAACTGACATTCTTCCAAAAAATTCTGTTCTTCTGAGAGCTTCTTGGTTAAACTTTGTTCTAATTTTGATTGCAAACTGTTTGGAGAAAAGAGTCCTATCTGTATTGTGAAGTACCATTTGCACCTATACTATATATGCACACCCATTTGTACTGTGCACAGTCTGCTACTCAGGGATGAAGGGGAGGGCAAATCCCCAAAGCAGGATGCAATATTTACAATATATTTTGTGAAGACATAGATATGTGCCAACTTGTTTGGGGAAAAAAATGGCATCCTGGAGTGATTTTGGAGATGAGAGACTTAAAACTTCTGTTTCGTGAAAACCCTGTCCTTCAGTAGTTTGAAAACACACACCAACCAGCTGACTAAAACAACAACAGAAGCAAAGCAGTTGATGCAGTCCCTCTTCCCAGGCCATGGAATTCACTGCTGCTTGGTGCTGTGGCACCAGAGGAGTGGGGGACTTGTCCAGTAGTGAGAACAGCAGCTGTACTTCTCTCATCTGTTGCAGGAAATGCCCCAAGCAAGCACAGACGCCTTACCCCAATAGAGTTCTTCACAATAAGGTTTTGTTGGATTAATTCAGTTTGTTCTTTCAGATAGAAGAGCAGCAATAATAGTGAATGCTTTTCCTGTAGTTCTGCCAAGGCCAGGTATACAGCTGGTTGAGTTTTTAACTGGCAGCAATCTTAGGCAAAAGGTCAGGTCTTCAAGTATTTGGGGAGAAAAATGGATGGGAGAAATGCTGAACAGATGTAGCATATAAGCTGGGAGCAAAGGAGCTGTAACAAGTTTCTTTACAACAAAAGAAAAAGCATCTACTACTTTTATGATGGTTGTCCATTGTGTGGATTGGTCGTTCTTGCTGTTCATTTTGTATTGCGATTCACTGTTCTTGTTGCATGCACCAAAGTAGAGGAAGCAGTCATCCTGCTTTGCCTTCTTTTGCTTGACTTCTAATGGTTTCAGATGTTCTTTTTGCTCCTGGCAGACCAGCGAATCCAGAGTAAACTTTGTAGTCCTGAGGCAGCCAGGTGTGCAGCTGTTGGACCCAGGGGAAGATGGCAGCACGTCAAACAACAGCAGCAGCAGCAGTGGAGGAGGAAGCCCGGTGCACCACCGGAGAAGACTAGACCACAGTCACTACAGGCGGAAGTCCAACTACCAGAAGGTAAGCTTGGAAATAACAGCAAAAACACTGGTTACTCCTGGTCTAATAGACCATTATGTTAGCTCCGTGACAGTTACGTATTATCTATAACCGATTTGTAGCTCCTTTTCTTCTTGAGCTATTGACAAGCAGCATGTTTGTGGCTGTTGGCACTAGAAAACTCTGCATTTGTCATCTACTGGAAAAAACATCAAAATTTCCTCAACTGTCTCTAGTGTTGATGCAGAACCAGTGTTTAATCCCTCCTTGTTTGGAAAGGGCCATGGGAAATTTACAGTCCATGAGACACTAACAGGGCCAGTGCTGGACCTCTTGATATTCATAAAGCACAGTGTGTTCAGGGTGTAGTGCAGTGGTATTAAGTTATGCTTCTGGTTTGGAGACACAGCTCTGTGACACAGAAGTGGAAACTACACAAATCACACTGTTGTGCTGCTGTGACTCAGTGTTGTATCTGCCATCCATTTGAATGTTACAAGAATATCCTGCAAGAGGAGAATTTTGGATCTTCTGTACCACTGGAGGTTTGCTCCATGCTTAGAGCTACCAGCTGAAAAAACATTCTAAAACTGCCTAGACTTCTGTATCTAAATGCCTCTGAAGATTAGTAAGGAACCTACTTCTACCTCCACAGTTGGTTACATCTGCAATTATTTGCAAACTAACAGGGAAATAATAAACTCTGATATTTAAACTTCAAGTAATACTCTTATAATCATTAGACACATACATTTTTCTAGGGATGCTGGCCGTCTCTGTCAGCATCTCCAAGTTTGATTTTTTTCTTTTATATACAGTATCTCAAAAACTCCTATTTGTCTGTTTTACCCATTATGTTGGCTTGAGGAGCAGAATCAGGATGATAATATAAACAGAGAAAACGTCAAGTTTCCACATATCTTTTAAGTCATGCATGAGAAGCAAAATAATTCAGAAGTTACTGATCCCAGTTTAGTAGTAGTCAGAAAGGGGTTGATTGCTTGATACGAGTGACCTTGTTTCTTGGTGCAAAACTGTTCTCAGAGTGAGCATCTCTTTACAGCAAAAGGAAGCAGGATTGTTGGGAGAGCAGCTGTTTCCCAGACAGCTATGCCTCAGTCATAGCAGTGTCACATTGGAAATATAGAGTAGTATTTTCACCCATAGCAAGTACAAGAGAAACTGACTTTGCCATCTAGCAGTATTACCAAATGTTCTGAGTTAAAGAAACATAATGTTTATTTTGTTCTGACTCTGAGGTTTTCGTGTTAATTGCATTAATGAATCTGTGTATTGTATTGCCATTTTATTGTAGGAATTACCTCCAGGATATGTAAGTCATGAAAAGACAGTTGCAATAAAGAAGGAACCAAAGGAATCCCTAGGAATAACAATTGGAGGTGGACGAGATAACAAAAACAAGCTCCCTATATATGTAACAAGTGTACAGCCCATCGGGTGCCTCTTCAGGGATGGCAGAATCAAGCGAGGTAAGGAGACTCTCAGATCCTTTACAGGTTGGGAACTGCTTTTAAGCAGAATTTGGATTTAGATAGTAAAGTGAAATTGGAAGCAGGGTTCCACATGAGACCTTGAGGCAGGAACATGCTTTACAGCACAAGTTTTGCAATAATCCCATTTTATTTAATCAACAGGAGATGTACTTTTGAGTATAAATGGCATTGATTTGACTCATCTGAACTACTATGAAGCTGTCTCAGCACTGAAATCTAATGCAGCTTCCCACTCGGTCATACTGAAAGCCTTGGAAATCCTTTTAACAGACCCCACAGATCCCTCTCTAGACATCAAGGAGCGAGGATTCAGCTGGTCTCCCCTCTGGATCACATGGCTTGGATTGCCCAGGTACATTTGTTTAGTGATCTCAGTCACTGAGCTGACTTAAACAATAGAAATGAACTTCTTTGTGGGTTGACTTGCCAGTATCCTTGTTAGCTTTAAGGCAGAGGAAAGCCTCGTCTGCCAGGGAGATCACAGCACAATGAATACATAAAGAAGTTCAGCTGTTTCTTACAGTGTTATTATGCCTTGTTTTTCCACTTCTGTTGCACAGTAACCATGTTTCAGAAGTTTCTGAAAAACTTTTTTTTTTTTTTTTCCCTTCTCTAAGAGAAGTGATGCAGAAAATGAAGAGCATACATTTTGGAATTTGAGGCGCTGACTTGAAATTTAGTCAGCATAGAACCAGTTCCTTCTGAAATGTCACTAGCTGAAATCACTGTGTCTCTTTCTGGATGGCATTAGAGAGGCCAGCAGGTATCTGCTGCTTTACAATACCGATTCTGATAATCTCATTCGGAGGAACTCTTTCAGTCTAATTCTTTCTGGCTGTTTTAATTGTGTGATCTCTAATGTGAAGCATAATCTATTCTGAATTGCTGAGTTTCCCCGCTGCAAAGCTTTGGATCATTAACTCAGCAAAGATTTTAGCAGCAGCATGGTATGTTCCATGTTACAGAGCTGAGATGTCAGAAGCTTCTTTTGTCTTCTTCCTGGTGAGGTGAACCTCTTGCTTGCTCACTTTTGTGGTTTCATGAAAGTATATTCAGCTAGAAAAGATAGAATCTGTTGTCATTTCAGGTAAGTGGAGAGGGATCGTGCAGAAGACGAATGTAGAACAGTAAAGCCAAACCCTTTTGTGGGAAGCTCAGATTATTTGTTGTTTCTTGAGGCATCTGGAGGAAGAAAGACTAACAAGCCTCTTGTTACGTTACCCTTGTGTTACTTAGCAGCCTGTAAGCGCTAAACAAAACAGCCCAAGGAAGGTAGCTTTGTGTCTCAGGTGACTAACTTGGCTTGTGCTCAGTCCTCTAGTTTCATCCACCCTCCCTCAGAATCAACTGGTCCATTCTGTGCAGGCCTGCTGTGAACCAGTTCAAGCTGTACCTGGATAGCCCAAACCTGGGTATGCATTCTCAGCTGCCAGCAGGTGCTTGTTCCTCTTGGGTGCTCCAGCAGCGAGGTACAGCCAGGAAAAACTGGTCATGCCTTCTCCCTTCTTCCTTTCTCCGATTTCTTTGGATGTGTACTGGTTCCCAGCATCACCACGCTTCCTGCTGCAGGGACTGGTGTCTATTCTTTACGCACTGGGAACTTGCCTTCATTTCAAGCATAGGCTGACATTACTTGCCATGTAATGCATTGCTTGAAATCTTTTTGCTGCGGGTAATAGTGTTGGCTCCCCCTTCCTTTGCCTGTTAGAAGGTCTCACTACTGTAGCAGGGAGCAATGATTTCAGATGCCCCTTCTGCTTTTCAGGCTTCCTTTCTTGCACTGACCTTTAGGAGTCAACAAAATTTTTCTTGTTTCCAGTAGTAAAAATGGCTCTAATTCTTTCTCATCTGCTTTCCCACCTGCTTGTAGTAAGACCTGGTAGCAATCAGTGTGGATGCTTTAAGCTTGGTGCTGGTGGCATGTAGGATTTTGGTTATGTTCAGCATTTTTGTACAGCTACTGCTCTGATACCGAAGTCCTTAAATCCTTCTCAGTGGAAGCTTTCATGCTGAAAGATTTAAGTCAAAGTCTAGCTCAGGGCTAGAGAAATGTACTCGGTTGTTGCAACACTTGAGCCTACAGTGTTTAATTCCAGCCTTGGTTCTTTTATCTGTGGGTTATTTTCTTTACATCAAATGCTGTCAGGCTGGCTCATTGAGTGAGATGCAGGCTCTGAGCTGTGCAGCCCCTGTAGCCCATCCTGTTGAACTTGGGTTACGTGCCAGGCTACAGGTGCTGAACAGTTTCAGGAGATCACAACCCTGGTCTTGTATCTTTCTTGGGATGCCAGATACAGAATAACAGTAGCATCTTGGTCATAGTCCTCTGAAAGGAAACACTCCATGCTCATAAGGTCGCTTGGATACCACAACATTTGGTGTGTAAGCTTGGGCCAGAGTTTCCACCCTTGCCTCTGGCCATGAGTGCCTGATGAAGATGCAGACATCTGTGCTGCTGGAGGGATGAGGTGGGAACACTCTTCTCTCTAGCCTCAGGCAACAGAGCCCGGTGCCTGACATTCTGGCTTTTTTCTCTTGTAATACAACTGTGGGAAACCTTACTGTCCCCATAGACTTCTACTCTCTCCATTGTTTTGCTAGTAATCTGGTGGTGGTGAGTGTTTCAAGTTAATTATATGCTACTAATTACTGCTGTTTGAATGATTATCATGATCACTGTATGTGTCACAGAAGATAGCTTAGGAGCTTCATTTCTTCATAGGATTGTTAAAGACCAGTTACTCATAGTATAAGGTATCATCTCAAACGTGGTGTTGGGATCTTAATTCAGTGCTCTTTGAATTCTGGAGATTGAGCTACCCTCTCTTGCTCTGTATCAGCTTTTGACTCGTGAAACAGCCCCATGCTACATTAGGCTTGGCTGTTAATGCTCAGGGGTGGAAAAGCAGCATCCCTCTTACTTTGAGATCTATCTGCAGCCAGTCCACAAAGCTTGAGCTCTTCTGCAGTGACCTTGAGGTGCTCCCTGCTGTGGCCCCACCGGAGCAGCACATTCCACAAACTCTGAGGGGGATGCAGATCTAGCAGGGAGCCTCCCAAAATAAAATCTGCACCTTTACTTTCTGTGAAGTCCAAAATATTTTTCCCACAGTCATTTTCCATTACGGTGAACTGTTTCTCTTCCTAAAAGCCCCTTTTCATATGGAAATAGATTTCTAGCAAAGAGCTTTCTTCAATTCTTGGAGAATGTGTTCAGTGCTCACTTGTGTTTTATGCTGAAGTAGCACTTCTATTCTCTGGGCTGTTTATCTGTACCAGATGCCATATATGTTTGTCATAGCTATGCTTTTTTTAATTTGTATAATACCAGCAGAAGAAAACCGGAGGCATCAGTAAGCTGAGGCTGGGTCTCCCAGGGTCTCCCAGCGTTAACATGTAAGGAACTGGTACAGAAGTAAATTTCTGTTTGAAAGCAGATAATTGGATCTTTGTCTCAGTGAGAAGTTAACTGAAAAGGCTTTTGAAATCTGAAACTCATCTGCAAGCTGCTCAAGCAAAGCTCTTGAGGCAAAAGCATTTGTAAAGGAGAAGTTCAGCTGCAGGAGTACCTCAGTGGGTGATCAGCAGCAGTTCCATGCAGCCTGCTGGTGCCAGAACATTACCTGACTGATGGCCTGTGCTTCCGCCACACCTCTTCAGATGCCTTGCAAGGGCCTGGCACGCGCTTCTGCTGCAAGCTCAGAGCACAGGTTCTGTTAGCACTTCATTATTGTGTTCTCCCTTGCCATGTGCCTCAGCCTCACTGGGAAGGCACCTCACTGAGTGGGGCTAGCACACAAGTGATCTGCCATCTGCTATCTTACTGTACACAGCAGCCCTGGGTTAGCAATCCTTTCCTGCAGGAAAGGCATCTCACGCACTCCAATGTGGTATGCAGAAGGAATGCTGTCTCACCTCATAGTGCTCTCTTGCCATCAGTGAGACGTGGCTGCTGAATGCCTTCATTGTACCAAGCTGAATAAAAATCTCAATTCCCGTTGACTGCATGGGGTTTAGCAGTACTGTTTATAGTTGATACGGTTTTTGTTCCTTTGCTAGGAAAAACCATTAAGTTATTCTGATGTGAATTCATGAATTTTTCAGTTCACAAGCCCTTTGAGAGCAGTCATTTTTAAACTCTCTGACTACCACTGACAGTATTAAGACTTCTAAAAGGCTGTTGTCTTCAGATTTGATAATCGTCCCATAACACACCTTGCACAAAAGGGTTGCTTTCAGCCTATAAAATGAGAAGAAAGACAAGGCTGTTGCATAGCTACACTTTCCCCAAAGGAAAATGTAAACTTCTGGTCCGTTGGCTTTCCTTGAAGCGTGTTTACAAACATTCTGTTTTTGGCTCTGCCTTCTTTGCAGCTACCTTCACTGCTGTCAAGATATTGTCCTTAGCAAAGCTAACCAGGAAAGCTGGGGCTTCAGCATTGTTGGAGGCTTTGAGGAGAGCAAAGGAAACCAGCCCTTCTTCATCAAAACCATCGTGCCTGGGACGCCCGCCTGCCGCAATGCAAGGCTGAAGTGAGTGTGAACCCTTCTGTGGGCTCGAGGCAGAAGCATCATTTCCCTGGAGAACTTTCACCCTTTTGACTGGCTGAGCTTAAGTTAAGGACTTCTAATCCATAGCTGCGCACTTAGGCAGATAATAGCATTACCAAAACCCTATATTAATGAGTGCTTTTTCTATAAAAGCATAACCACCTAGTAAGGGGAATTAAATGTTGTATTTTAAAAGGCTGTAAAGGCTTTAATTGAGTAATTAAGAAGAACTAGAAAGGGGATGTTCCAGATTAACTTTAGAGGCTTCTGAGTGAAAAAAAAAAAATCACATGAATTACAAAGACTGTCTCAATGCAAGTAGGAAAAGCCCTCCTGTAGAGAAAATGGAAGGTAGCCTTGCTGTCAGTAATGCAGTGGGCAAAGTGGTGAGTAGTCCGCATTACCTCCAGCACTCACCAGAACCAGCTCCTTCCACAAGCATGGAGGCTGCAAGTGCGGTACTGTTACAGGCTGCTCTCTGGCAGGGGGCAGCTTCAGTACAGTGAGTCAGGCTTTGCTACCCTAGGAAGCATGAAAGAACAGAGCTGGTCAGAGCCCTGGTGGGGGCCTGGGGCCAGCTGGGCATCCTGTTTAAGTGCCTGGGGAGCCCTGTAAGACTGAGGGAAGGAGAGGGGCTGGCTCTGGCATTTCATCCCACTGTAGCTGAGCCATACAGCCACATGGAAGGTATCTGGGTGCGCTACGGTTGGGTGAAGCAGGCAGCCTGAGAAACCTATTGAATCAAGCTACAGCATGAGAGAATGCCTCGGCCTGTGGGCATTTCTCTTGGCCCAGCCCTCTACTGCCAGGCCAGCCAGTTGCACTCCTGTGCACAGCATAGTCTTCCTCCCCTGCCCTCAGATTCAGGACAGCAGCTGTTTCTTTGTGTTTGCGTCTGTTCTCTTTTTGCTCTTTATCTAAGAGTCACTTCAGTAAAGAATTTATGATCTTGGTATGGGGTGGAGTAGGTGATCTTGGTGTCCAAGGTCACAACGTTAATGAATTTACTTATGACGAGCTCATTTTTTGTCTTTTTATTAGGTGTGGAGATGAAATAGTGGCAGTAAATGGTGTACCAGCGGTTGGAATGAGCAACTCAGAACTAATCCCAATGCTGAAGGAGCAAAAGAACAAAGTGACACTTACTGTGGTATCCTGGCCAGGGAGCCTTGTGTGAAAGCTGTGACAAATCACGCAGCAGCCTTAAGGATCATCCTTGGTATCAGATATTTGTTGACCACCACACTGAGCTGAGCTGAACATGACAAACTGAGGGAATGCTGAACTCTTGCTATACAGCATATTGCGTCATGACAATAATTTTCACTTCATTTTTGGAGAAAACATTTCTTTACTGTGTGGAGGTTGCCACTGACTGATTGTTAGATTTGAAAATAATGGTGACTCAGAACATTTGTAGCTTCTTGGACTCAATAGAGCTTGTTAGTATTGGTGTTGCAGTGTTTCTCTACGACTCACCCATCTTTGCTTTTTAGTTTTAGAGCTCCTCTTTCCATTTAGTGTTTTGAACAGGTTAAAACAGATGTGACTGGCGTGTTTTGCCTGCTAGTCTAAGAATACCACTTGGCTGCTGCTCTTCTACCTTGCTGCCATACTGGACACTGAATCATTTTATATGTTTATAAAAGCCACTAATAAAACTGTAAGGGTGCAGTCCAATTAAGCAGGTCTTGTAGCCCACAGCTTTATGTTCTTTGGCTGCTTAGGTCTACTGAATGTTTTTACACATCAAAGAAGTTTGCAGCTGAAGGGCTGCCAACTGAGCATGGCAGGGCTGTGTTGAACTCCTATGACAGTCGTATCACCAGGTAGAAGAAATGAGGAATTTGTGTAGTTTTTATCAATTTCCTCAGCTTGATGTCTCTGGTTTTAAGACTTGATGAGTGACCAGCTTTTCCCAAAGAAGGCAGATGGCTAAGAAAGCAGGTTTGTTGATGAGAAGCTGTCTTTTAGTTTCCTAGTGTTGAGAGGCAGAGCTGAGGCAGCAGAGACAAGATGTGCTTGCAGTTCTGTCACTGCTGTAGCAAACTGCAGCTTGCTGTGTTGGAATCTCCAGGATAAGGACACCTTGGGCTTCAGTTCCAACCCACTGTGTAGGTAAAGGTTAGAATGAAAGAAATGAAGTCCTAGCAGGTTGGTTTGACTTCCAACACCTGTTTAATTCCTACCTGGAAACAAACTCTACATGAAGCAATTCCATTTTTTTTTTTTTCAAGTTGCTAATTAGCAGTATAAGAAACAGATCTTTCTCACATCACAGATCTCTGTGCTGTTTCTGCTGTACCTTTAATGGAGCCAGCTCAGACTGTAGGATTAATCAAAGGAGTCTCTTTCATAAAAATGCTACCTAGAATGAATGTTGTAATTCCTTGTAGTAGCAAACAGACTGCAGGTATGTGCCCATCATCCTCAGCAGTGCTTTTCTTAGGGCTGGCTATTGGTAATTGGCTATTAGAGCAGAGTAGACCTGTTTCTTGCTAGATGATTGAGCTGTTTACACACCAAGTGACTTCTTCCTCTGGCTGTTAGCTTAAGGCAGTATACAGCAGGCCCCTGTTATCAGAGCCTATTGTACAGAAATAGCTTCAGATCCATTTGTCACAAAAGCTCCCCTGGCACATGGTGTGGCCTTTCCATTTGGCCAATAAATGCAGCTACTGTCTTAAACAGCAGAAAGAATGGGATCAGCTGCTGCTGCTAGCTAACAGTGAGAGTGAAATGATTCTGAAGTCAGAAATGTGCCTGTGGAAAACAAGTCACTTGAGCTGCGTCTGACAGAAAAGAAAGTGAAGCCTTTTGGTCTCCTTCCTATCATGATAGAGAATCTGTGCCCAATATGGAACAGTAAATATTTGCATAGGTGGAAAGAGGGCAGTTCTTACTGGGTTGTAACAAATGGGGCTTGTACAAAGGACGGTAGGAAAAAGCCATGCAGAGGGTGGTCAGACCATTAAAATGAAGGGTATGCTGCAGAAGTCAGCATGACTTTTACTATTACTCCATCTCGTTTCAAGGTGCCTTTAACTTCACCAAAATGTCCTCACAATTAAGTACTGATTACAAGATCAGCTTGTTAATAGATGTTGAATTTGTTTTGATGCCTTTATAAATTATTCTAATATTACTGAAAACCAACATGGATTATGGATTTTTTTTTTCTTTACTCTCTTGCACATCAGCTAATGTCCCAGAACAGGTCCTCTCAACACCAGGCTTAAAGAAGCTGACCTTGCCAGGCAGGATGTTGTGCAGTTGACTTCTGCTTCTCCTGGGAGAGGAGCTGGATTACCCAGAAATAAACTGTGATTGAAGAATGAAGAACAAAACCAACTCTCACATGCTCTTTTCCCTCAGTTATCTCACTGGTGCTTCTGGGGATCAGAACTGGATGGACTGAGAAAGCCAACCTAGGGAATAAAAGCTTTATGGAATGAAGCTTAACTCCCTGATCTCTTGTGAATGTTACAGTCACTGTTCATTAACCCCAGGAAACGTGACATGAAACTTGCAGCAGTTACTTGGCATAAGCAAAGATTATTTCCAAAGCTCTATCTTCATAAATCTCTAATACATCAAAGGCAAACATTTCACCTCTATTTACTGCACTAGAATAAAACTGTTAGCCCTGCTAGTATCAGTGAAAGGCTTGAGTCTGTCCTTAGGAGGACATTCACCAACATACACGAGGAAGGAGCTGGCAGCAGTAACTCTTCAAAAGAGGATTCTCTATTTCCCCCTCCTTTCATGACATCACCGCAAAACCCGGGTGCAGCAGGATGCAGACTGGATGTGATCACTCTTAATTACACCTATTTAAAGGTTGGGCACTTCTGCCACCTCCACAAACACAGGAAGAGAGAAGGGGCAGAGATGCAGGATAGTTCTGTATGCCTCTGGACCTGAGTGCAGAAATGAAGGAGAAGGAACTGGCTGGGGGCTAAACTCTACACTTACCTTAGCATGAAATTCTATTGACAAACGTTTTCCCCTGATTCTAGAAAGGTAAAAACCAGCTCAGCAAGGTCTGTGGGCCACTGCCTGGCATTTCCCTCAGCGCCCCAGTGATTTCACAGATCATGTTCTGGAAAAAAAAAAATCAGATTTCATAATTACAGAACACAAGCTCGCTCTGGAGGCACCAGCAAGGATCCCCGGTGCTTCTCCTTCCATGCTTCCCAGCAGTGCGAGCAGGGGCACATTTGTCATTGCAGTGCAATGATGAGGGTGCAGACGTCTGTCAGCAGCAGGGCTGGCTCCTGCTCCTCGTCACTCCCATCGCTCATTTCTACATGGGCCAGCTATGCCAGTGTGCTTGGCAGCTGCAAATCGCACAAAGGATTGGATTCTGTACAACCACAACCTGTTTTCTTGACAGGACTGCTGTCAGCCAAACCCTCTTGCACAGCACCACACTGTGCTGGCCCAGCATTGGGGAACAAGGCAGAATCAGCTTCAACCAGCCCAAAAAGCAAGCTGAACTGTGGCCTCTGCCAGCACCAAAACACCCAAGCAATAGGAGACCCCAGCATGCTTCCAGATTCTGAATCCCTCTGTTTTATTTCTACCTACCTCCCCTGTGCTCATCCCCCACCCCAGCTGCTCCCTTGGCCTTGACAGAGCACTGAGGGCCTCAAAGCCTGATTGCAGCCTTGCTCTGCAGCTGATTCATGGCACACATCTTACCCACACATGTACGTCCCATGACCTCAAAGCACACTTTAAAAGCAATATTAACAAAACAAAACAAAACAAAAAAACCCCATACTTTATTCTTCTCCCCATAGGTTTGGTAGTTAATGACCCATCAAATGCACCATCATAGCATATAAACTGTTACCATAGTGCTATACTGGCTCAAGTCTCTACAGTTGTAAGCTTCACATGACACTCCGACTTGCAAGATTACAATACAAAAAAATATGTAAAGTTTCAAAACCACATTATTTTAGGGCAGAGATTAGAACAGTTTGAAATATCAAGTCAAAACAGTGGAAGATACTTAAAATGAGACATGTGGATTCATGCTAACAGAAGTGCAACATTGTCTTTAAGAACCAGGCATACCAAAACCCCTCAAAACTGCTTCCCGTTCTTCCCACCCAGAAATATGTTTGCACCCTACTCAACCAGTACTAAAGTCCAAACAAAGTCTGGAATTTGACTGAATTTATTTTAAGATTTTAGGGGAGAAGGAATGCATTGCACAGGAGTGTTGGTAATATCCAAATAGAAATAAGTCAACCCCACGAGGGCAAACTGCTAGATGGAACTTTTTGTTACCTAGTGTGCTAAATTATTCAGCTCAACCCTTAGTTAAAAAAAAAAACAACAGTTAGTCAAAGCTAATTAAGAAGAAACTCATGCTCTTACTATGGGTTGTCCATTGGTTTTCCACTTATGGCTGTAACGTGGTAGAACTATGTTTGTGATGGATTAAAAGAAGCTTTGAAGTCTTTGCATACCCTGTGTGAACACAACAGCTCCCTGAAGGCAGCAGAGCACAGTCAGACAGACCCAGGCCCACCAGCAGGAGCTGCTCCTCCTCACAGGCTGTCTGCTGGCACACAGAAATGAGAATGCGTTTTCATAGCTATACAGAACTGTATCTGGGGGTGAGACTTCTCTACTAGAAGCCAGCCTCTAAGCTGGCTCTCGGGATCTAAATCACACTCGTCTTTGGACAATAAATTTCAAGTTGCACTTACTGTCCTATTTTTCAAAAAAGGAATGATGGTCATAAAAAAAATAAACAAAAACTATTACCTAAATGCGTTAGTTTCAGCTGAAGCCATCTTCCATCAGAAACCATAGGATCTGATACAACAAAGTTCTCCCTAAGGATGTTTATGAATAGAGTAGCTCAGTGCTTTATATACTAGTACTGCTGTATTTTGTCTCGTATCAAAAAAGAAAACAACAAAAAAAAGTTTAACTGCACGTGCAGCCTCAACTCAAACCACTGCGATGAGCTTCACTGCTCACCCAGAGCCAGGCCCTCTTCCCTTGGGAAAAAAAACATGAAGAAAACACAAAATAAAACCAGAATGAAACTTCACCGCCACCCCGCAGGTTCCATAGGAGCACGTCTGTCCTGGGGCCCTCACTCCTTGCTGTCCTGCTCCTCTCCCTCTTGGGTGCCATCCTCGCTGGTCTCCTTCTCCTCCTTGCTGCGCTTGTTCTTCTTGTGCTTGTGGCGCCGATGGCTCTCCCCTTCCTCGCTCTCGTGCTGCTTGCTGGAGGGGGTGGAGAGAGGAGAGGAAAGGCCTCAGAGCCTGCAGCAGCACAGCTCTGCCACAGCCGAGACCCAAACACACCAGCTGTGCAGCACAGGCAGAGCACTGGGATCCAGAGCAAGAGGAGGCAGAGCAGCAATGCTGGGGCACTGTGCTGCCATGGGAATGTTTTCTGCTCACTGGGGATGATCTGGCACCGTGTGCAGCTGGACCTGGGCTCCATGATGCTGTGTGGCAGCACCCCAGCTGGGCAGGCAGTGCACTGTTGGGAATGCTGTCAAGGTCATTGGGGTAGTGCTCTGTTTATTTATTTATAATAAACAATTATATATAGTCTGTGTCCATCCTACTCCTGAGGGAGCTCTGATAGCCTTGCCATATCACCAGCTTTGATATAAAGCACTGAGGCTGCTGAGAAGATCCCAAATCTGAGAGGTGCTGGGAAACTTTTGCTCTTTTGAACGTGCTGGGGAAAGCCGCAGGCTAGAAGCAAGAGGTGGGTCAGTGCAGCTGAGAGATGTGAGTTTCCCAATGGGAGAGCAGGCCCTGTTTCTGCTTCTCTTTCCTCACAAATGACCCGGCACTCCACCAGCTATGTGCTTTAGAGCTTCTCTATCTCCTCCTCCAGAGCTGGTTTCCAGATGCACCAGGATTGCTGGGGGCAGGATCCCCGGCACAGGGCAGCAACCCCAGCCCAAGTGGCTGATGGGGTGGTACAGACCTGTGAGCCCCACACTGCTGCCTGCAGCACCGGCAAGCCCTGCATTCTGTTTCCCAACAGGGACATGAGGAAACCAGCAGCTCTGGTTTTGCCCATCCTGGTTCCTGGCCCCTTTGGAGGAGATTTCTGCTGGTTTGCCAACATTCAGTCATTTCTCCTCACAGGTTTAAAATCACATGAGCTCTCCAGAAACTGACCATGGTGTGAAAGTAGCAGAATTAAAATAGAGGAGAGAGTACAAAAAAAAGCAAATTAAATTTGTCACAGGAAGACATGTGGTCACAGCCCACAAGTGAGCGAGAGCCATGTGGAAAGACTCATTCTTACTGCAGCTGGGACAACAGTGCCAGGCCAGGACAAACCTCTGAAGGTCTGGCTGAAAAGCTTCTGGCTGCAATTCGCTGACTTGTTTAATGAGTAGCTTCATAGGCATAAAAATAAAAAAATAAAACGAAAAAAGAGGCAGTTACCTTCTCTCCATTTACCTTCAGCTACCTGGCAGGTAGCAATGTGGCAGTGGTTTGTGCCACACTGGTGGTTTAACCACCTGTAAGCAACTTCCTTCAGATTCCCAGTAAACTGGAAACTACAGCGAAGCTGCACCTGCAAATGCCTTGACCAGGCCCAAACCACAGCCAGGCTCCAGGAGGGTCTCTGATGACACACTAGGAGCGGCCTCCCACAGAAAGCATTCATTTCCTTCATTTGCTTTGGAAAAGAGACTTCTCATTCTGCCACTTTGAGCAACAGAGAGTGCATCTGTGTGTGGTTTAGCAGTCAGAAGTCACCTCATTTCCAACTGGTGGAGCAGCCCAGTTCTTCAAATCAAGCTCTCTGATTTGGACACCGCTTTGGTGAATTCCAGTCTGAGTACAGGAAGCTGAGAAATAACCTTTAGAGCTATTGGCCTGTTAGGCCAGTATCAGCTCAGCTTCCATTTGTTTTCTGTTTCATTTGGATTATGCTCCTAGCCTTTCTTTCCATTCTTTTGTTTCCAAACCTTCAGCAATCTGTCCCTTTTCGGAAACCTAAGTATATCCATAAGGATGAGAACAGTCTTTTACCTGCAGTAACTATATAGGAGTTTTTCTGACACTACATTCAAGAAAGGGGAATTACTTACAGAGCTGTCATGAATTTCTTCCAAAAGAAATTGAAGCACCAAAAAAAATGGAGCAAGTCTGCTCAAGTCATTACCAGGGTGTAAAGTGACACAGCAACTGAGCATTGTCTCAGACTGGAGACCAGACCTGCTCTGCACAGGAGCACACAATTCTGAAATCAGATGCTTGTCCTATGGATTTGCAGTATGTATACATTTTCTTAACTCTGGGACCCATGCAGCTCTGATGTGGTATCTGGTGCAGGCTGACTTCTCCCTTCTGAGACAACGCTGCAGTTCTGTGGCACCAACTGACATCCTGCTGATGCCCTACGGCAAGCAGCAAGGCTTGCTCCCATCTCAGGGCTGGAGCAGATCACAGGAAGCCAGCATGACCGAAATACACCCTCGTAGCACCTGGCTTCTTGTCCACAGCAAAGGTGAGCTCCCACCAGCAGCCCAGTTCAGCCCCAGGTGGCTCTTACCGCCTCGAGGACTTGTGCTTGCTGCTCTCCTCCTTGTCGCGGTGCCTGCGCTCCCGGTGCCGGTCCTCCCGCTCCCGGCTGCGGTCCCGGCTGCGGCGATAGTCCCGCTCAAAGTCATAGCTGCGCTCCCGGCCGTAGTAGCGGTACCGCTCGTCCTCGCTGGGAACAGAATGGGAAGCGAGGTGTGGGTGTGATGCTTTTGGGCTCCAAAGCCAGGAGACGTGCTCACAGGACTGAAGAATTCCCAACCAAAGTCTGTCACTCCCTGCTACCAACAGGCAGAGGTACTCGTGATGCTCCTGAAAGCCCAAGCTGCCTTGTTCCAAACCAATGGAAACGTATTCCTTTTGTCATTCTGCCTCCCCAGGTGCTAGACTATCTCACTGCACTACCGCTCCACAGTCTAACTCACAGGAAAGAATCACAAGTTAGGAGACTGTTTTCTTCCTTGTGACTTTAAAAACTCAGGTTGCCCACACTGCAATTGTGAGTCACTGACGGGGTTTTTCTGCCTGCACCCGGGCACTCAAGGCACCTCATCCAACCTACACATGAGGTGGGCACAATGTACCCAAACTCAGACTCATTCCACAGTTTCTTTCCTATTCTAATTTTGAAAGCTGATGCCTGGGGGGGGTTAATAAGACCCATCATGGGAAACAATATTCGGCCTCAGAGAGAAATAAAATCTAAAACAGCATTGTATGATTTGTGGAAACAAGCCAGACAAATGAATGCGTGTTACCAATCATCTGAGAGTGCTCTAAAGGATTCCATTGAGCATAGCCACTTGCCCTGCTTGGCAAGCATGATCCTGGAGGTCAGCATGCTTGAAAACACGCAAAAATGCCAACGATATTCTCAGGACCTGGCTGTGGCAAGAATCCCCTCAGGAAGTGCAGGAGCCCAGGTTCCTCACTCTGCAGTACGTTGGTCTTTGTCTCAGTTCTGCCCCATTTTCTCCCGCAGTGCCCATAAATTTGAAAGAAAAAAGTCCAGGAAATTCTGCCTAGTTTACTCTGCACAGGGACGCGAGAGCTCCCAGGGCTGGCAGCACTGCCCTGCCAGAGTGCACATTCTGGTCACATTCTGAATGACTGGTGGCACTTCTGATCCTGAAGACTGCACAACACTGATGCTCCCTGGGATGGAAGTACCACAGGCACCCAGAGCAGAGCACATAAGGAACGGGTTCAGGAGGAGTCGCCGCAGCTGAGCCTTCACGAGACCCAGATCAACACTGGGAAGATGAAGCTCCATCTCCCACGTGCTCCCAGCACTGCTGCCGCCTGCTCCCATCAGCCACCAGCTAGATGACTGCTTCAGCACTGCTCAGGAGCACCCAGGGTCTCCTGAAGGGTTTCTGTTTCCTGGCTGGCTCCTGGTGACTGGCATTCCTGCCCTGAAGCCTCTGCAGGACAGCTGAGCAATGCACAGCTTTTCTCTTTGATGTGACAGTTTCGTTCACAAGACAAGCAGCAGCAGCTTTTACGGCTGCTGTTTCACACTGAGCTGTAAAACACCAAGTAAACAGAGAGGGGCTATTCCATTCACTAGCCTCACATTACAAGTGGGAGAGCAAGCGGAACTGGTCCTCCTGGATTAAACAAAAAGAAAAGAAAAGAGCCAGTGACACTGGCTCCTAGCTTTGTCTCCTATTCATCCAAAGTATGCTTTGCCAGAAAATGTAACTGGTACAGGGCAAACCTCTCTGCACCCAGGACAAGGCCAAGCCCCCACAGGTGGCTGCAGCAGGACCCTGCCAGGCCCCAGCACTCACTTGTT